TTTTTTTTTTTGGCAACTACAATAAGCAATATCATTAAAACTCAAAACCAATGTAATCTATCAACTGATAGCCACAGTTCACATACGTCTTACATTTTATATTTACGTTTGATAAAAATAAAAATCGATATTTTATGAAGTTTCCCCGCGGGAGAATAATTTCAATGTTTCTCTGATAATCATTCTTCGATGGTCTGCGGAGCCATAGCTCTCCCACGAGACAGAAACTTCTTCCTGGGCTTAATCAAGCAGGCGAATACGCTGTCACACCTCAATCAAACGCACGCCCAAATCATCCATAACAACCTCGTCAACGACACCCAAACCATCACAAAGCTCATCCAGAAGCTCCTGCACCTCAGAGCCAACGATCACGCCAAGCTCCTATTTTCCGGCATCAACTCACCCGATCTCTTTCTCTACAATGTGCTCATCAAAGGCTTTAAAAGCAACCCGTTCGATTCTTTGTCTGTTTACAAGGATCTACTCCGGAAAACGATTTTCAGACCGGATAATTTCACATACTCATTTCTTTTCTCTGCCTTTTCGGGTTATCCGACTCCCTTATCTGAGAAAATCGGGATTTTGCTTCATGGGCACTCTGTGGTTTCCGGTTTCGGGTCGGATTTGTTTGTGGGCTCGGCTTTAGTTGACATGTACATGAGTTTTTCAATGATTGGTAATGCGTTCAAGGTGTTTGATGGAATACCCGTGCCAGATACTGTTGTTTGGAACACGATCCTGTCTGGGCTGGCGAAAAATTGCTGCTACCACGAGTCACTTAAGTTTTTCCGTGATATGGTCGGGAGGACGACACAGTTCGACTCGACTACATTGGCTGTGGTGCTTTCAGCTGTAGCCGAGTTGCAGGAGATTAAAAACGGGATGATTGTCCAGGCTTTGGCTGTGAAGGTCGGTTGTCATTGTCGCGTCCATGTGCTCACTTGTTTGGTCTGTCTGTATTCAAAATGTGGAGATATTTCTACTGCTTGGATGTTGTTTGGTTTGATTAGGAACCCGGATTTGGTCGCGTATAATGCAATGATTTCTGGGTTTTCTGCTAATAATGAATCTGGGATGGCCCTCGAACTATTTCAAGAATTACTTTGGTCAGGATGCAAATTAAGCTCAAGCACAATGGTCGGTTTAATCCCTGTGTTTTATCCGTTTGGTCATTTGGATTTTACTCAGTCAATCCATAGCTTTTGTTTGAAATCTGGGTTTCTTCTTAATTCCTCTGTTTCAACTGCATTGACGACCGTTTATAGTCGGCTTAATGAGCTAGACCTTGCTAGAGACATATTTGACGAGTCATCAGAAAAGACTTTGGCATCATGGAACGCCATGATATCTGGTTACACTCAGAATGGCCAGACGGCAATGGCACTTTCTCTTTTTCACAAAATGCAGAAGCTCGATATTCAGCCAAATCCCGTCACAATCACGAGTATCTTGTCAGCATGTGCCCAGTTTGGTGCCTTAGGTTTGGGAAAATGGGTTCACGACTTAATTAAAAATGAGAGCTATGAACCAAATATCTACGTGTCAACTGCTTTAATCGACATGTACATGAAATGTGGCAGCATAAACGAGGCCGAATGTGTATTTCACATTATGGAGGAAAAGAACATCGTGACTTGGAATGCCATGATTTCTGGGTACGGCCTTCATGGCTATGGGCGTGAAGCACTAAAGCTATATGATGAGATGCTGCTTTCTGGGGTTAATCCAACTAGAGTTACTTTTCTCTCAATTCTATATGCTTGCAGCCATGCTGGCATGGTGGCAGAAGGTCAAAGAATTTTCAATACTATGGTTTACGATCATGGGTTCGAGCCCAGCTCAGAGCACTACACGTGCATGGTGGACATTCTTGGCCGGGCCGGAAAATTAGAAGATGCTCTAAAATTTATAAACGAGATGCCCATAAAACCGGGCCCCGCTGAGTGGGGCGCATTGTTGGGTGCTTGCATGACTCACAAAAACGCCAGCTTGGCACAGCTGGCATCTGATCGGTTGTTCAAACTCGATCCTGAAAACGTTGGCTATCGTGTTCTGCTTTCAAATATATATTCAACGAACCAAAATTATTCTCACGCAGCTTTACTTCGACAAGTGGTGAAGAAGAAGAATCTGGGCAAGACTCCTGGCTGCACTCTCATCGAGATCAATGGGCTCCAACACGTCTTTACATCGGGTGACAAATCCCATCCCGATTCGGTAGCTATTTACAATATGCTTGAGAAATTAATGGGGAAGATGAAAGATGCCGGTTATCTTGCGGAGACTGTCACGTCGCTGCATGATGTGGAGGAAGAAGAGAAGGAGCTGACGGTGAGTGTTCATAGCGAGAAATTGGCTATTGCTTTCGGCATTATGATGTCCGAAGAAGGTGAGGAGATAAGGATCATCAAGAACCTGAGAGTGTGTTTAGACTGCCACAATTTCACCAAATTCATGTCTAGGATTACCGAGAGGACTATAATCGTCAGGGATGCTAATAGGTTTCATCATTTTGAAAATGGTGTGTGTTCTTGTGGAGACTATTGGTAGAGGAAACTTATTTTAATGAGATATCAAATTTTATAAAATTTGATTGCAAGTACAGGTGAACAATATGTATATAAACTATTTCACTTACATATAAATCACAATATTGGACGTATAGAATATGAAAAATAATATAATTAACTTTAATTTTTATTGATCATGTCCATTTAATTAATAATAGAATATTAAAATTACTATCTATCATCTATTAATATATAATAATAATTAACATAATTTATTTTTAGAAACTCTTTCCCGCCATTAGCATTAAATACACTCTATTTATAGTAATTCTTTATCAAAAAAAAAAAAATCTAACATTAATGATGCAAAGAACTTCTTTAATAATCGCATGGAAACAAACAATTTACTTCCTTAAATATCGCATGCTAAGATTTATATCTAATTTCTTTCTGATTCTTCTAATTTCTTCCAAATAAAATGGGTTATGCATGGAATCAACCAATTTATCAACTATTTTTATAATTTTGACGAACAAATAAGATTAAGGCTGGTTGAACATGGTATAATATAATTTAATTTACTAATTTAATATAATTTTGCCAAATGATATAATAACGGTTGCACATAGTATAATATAAAGTAATAATTTAATAATTCTACCAAATAATATAATAATATATTATAAATTTAATAATATAATAATATAGTTTTTTAAAATAAAACCGGTTGTACATGGTATCAATACTATATCTTCATGTATAAAATAAGATTAGACTTGAATTATTTTGTCGTAATCTTTTCCTGGCATGCATTAATTATTACCTAATTTTAATATTCTTTGAAAATTCGAGATAGCGTATCTTGGCGCATTAATTGTCAACTGATATGGAATAACTTATTTAATAGTTGATGGATTCAATTCCCGATTTTTATGGAATCAAATATCGGGTGTATACACGTTTTAAATAATTTAATAATATAATAATAGGCTGAATGATTTATGCGTCGGATTCATGCAAAGAAAATTTTGAACAGATTTCTAAAATCATGGTTTGTATATAGCATCTATTCATCAATTGATTTTTTTTCTACATTATCGGTTTGAAAAGGAAAACGAATTTTATACCTTATCAGTTTTGATAATACAATGTTATAATCATTGTCATTATATATTTTAAAAGATAATGTTTATCATTTATTTGCTTTCAAAAGATGATCTTTTTTTTTACATATAGTTTAGCTATATTTTTATTTATGCATTTAAACAAATTAACTAAACGTTTGACAACAAAATTTGTTATATATTGAATCAAACCAGTAATTAATAAAAAAGTCCATCAATTCGAAATTAAAAAAATAACACACGATCACTACATTTAAAAGATTAAATTTTTGAGATAAACATTCATTTATATTGTCAAGACGATCAACAAGGGTGAGTGTCAGTCTTGATCGCACGTTTGCATATTCTTGAAAAAAACATGTTTTTAGTTACGATCACTTATATATTGCAGTTTCGAGTGATACAAAAATGGTTGACAATATTAATTTGTGGGAATAACGAGTTGCTCAATAATCAAACTAATAATGTTGTTTACAATTAGGTTTTTAATAACACATGATTTTTTCAGACCCAAACATTTTATGAGCATTTTCTGCCCAAAACAATAATTACCTACTATAGACGGAAATATTATAATATGATATAAATAAAAATAAATCATTAATTGCATAATTTTCATATAACTCGACTTTCGGTTTGTGCTTGTTTTAGTCAATTCTTGGTTTCCTTTAAATATGTTGATAGTGGTTTAATAGGAAAAGATTATGTAAATAATTATATGTAGCCGATTTAGAAATTCATATTTATCGAGGATTCTTTTTTTTTTTTTAACAAATTTATTAGAATCATTGATTTGGATTAGCATATATATGTTACATACACAAAAAAACAATTTTATAGT